CTTCACACTCTTGGACTGCGTGCTCTACTACACCATTGGACGGACGTTCTCCTACAGGGCTTTCTTCTGGAATCACCACGTCGAGGTTTGCTGCTGCCTTGTCCTCGCGGCGAAGAGCCAGAATTGAAATTTCCTGATCGCATTTCAAAAACTGGATACGGGTGCGTTACGCCTTTGCACTGAAAAATGCTTGAAAACGTAGCTTTCTTTGGGTGACACCGCACACATATGTTTGGCATTATGATTTGATCGTCTGGCACTCCCCAAAGACATAATCCGCAGAAGCAATAACATCTGCAACATCAAACCGGCTACGCTTCAACAGCCCGTTCTTTGTGACACCGTTCGGGGACCTCTCTCGTAGGTCAGGCACAACATCACCATTGGCAACAATGTAACGAACTCCTGCCTTAGACTCGTCGCTCGGCGTCGCCGCTGGCACACTCTTGAGGAACAACCGGCACGGAAGTTCCAAAGTCCAGTGTGATCTAATTCCCACGGATGGGACTCAAAGGCTGCTTCGTATTACATACTTCCGTCCACTACTTTAGACCCCTGAGGCTCATCGGATTCAAGGTGCCAGCCTCGACGCCGGACAGCTCAAGACCACCAAGGGGCTGCCCACTTGCATCGTAGATGATGGGGCCTTGGCTTCCTAAGCTGTGCTGCTGTTGCGTGCTGCTGATTGGCGGATGCGCCTACTGCGTGCGCATAAACACATGTCATTAATGAAACTTTGAAGATTGTGACCAATTTCACTTGGACGATGTGTACCGTCAAATTCGTGCAATCCCTCTTTCGAGAAACACTTTGGCTCATGATGGTTCGTTTTACCGCACCACTTGCACGGGGGTTGACTGCCGAAACCTTTACCTTTCGTATTCCATCCTTACCATTGCCTTTGCCGCCGCACTTCCCTGACACTTTGTCGGAAGATTGCGGAGGTTGCCTTGCACAACCTCCCTTGGAAATCCAATCATTACTGCGCTTCCGCTTTTTCCGCCTTCTCCGCCGCACTTCCCGCTGGGAGTGCCAGTCTTGCCGTTGCCGGTTCCCTTGCCTTCCGAATCACGAAAATAACCTGTCGTGAGTCTTGTGAATTCTTGTACCATACACTCAACAATCCTTGCCTCCATGTTTACCGTCTTTGCCAACATAGCCGAGATCCATTTGAGTTCCTCGGGCGTCAGCGTTCACATGTTTCGTTCCCAAATACGACATGATCTCTTCGCGAACATCAAGATAATCTTCGAACCTCGATTGGGTTAGGTTAACTATGAAGACCTTCGGGGCACATGGTGAAAGATTCCAGGTATGATGTCGTCGTCGATTTTCTTTTGTGCTCTGTTTTCGTATATGCGGAATTGCTCTTCCCATTGCTCGACGCTCGAAGACAACTCTTGGATCTCAAACTCACCGGGCTGAAAAATCGAACTCGTCAGGGCACGCGTACGCTGACCCGTGTGCATGTCAAAACGGCGACACAACTTCCGCCAGGCTTCCATACCATGGTCCGCAATAATACTAGACACAATGTCGCACGCTTCGCCGTCTGTCATCTGTGCAAGTGTAGTGTACAACTGGGCGAAAATCAACTGCATCAGAAAACAGCGGAACTAGATGTTCTGTCATTGCACTTGATATTACATGATGCTGCTCTTCAGCCCAATCCGTCACAGCACGAGCAGTCTTAAAAACCGAAGGCACAGAATTCTTCAGCCTGAAACTGAAGTGCGGCCACTGTTTCATGCCACTGTCAAATTTAGCTGGTGCCCCATATTCCTGTGTTTTTAGTCAATGATTTCGAGCCAGGCGAAGATGATGCTACACTCTCGAATGTCTGTTGCAGGGTGCTCTGCATTGTCTGCACTGTGGCCCGATGTTGCTGCTGCATTCTCTGCATGGTTTGGTAATGATTATGTTGCATGTGCTGTGTGTTTGCTGTTTGAGTTTGTAACTGCTGCATGAATTCATTGATTTGCTGATCCTTCAGCTGCAATCCGTCGATCAGCTGTTAAACTTATTCCTGGGATGCCGTTGTTATCGCAGAACCACGTTCACTTAGTGGATGCTCCTCCTTGGATTCGAATCGGGATCGAAATTCAATTCGAGCCTAGCTCACGCTACCATGACATGATGTTGTGATGTGGATGGCTTCTCTTGATATCTGAAATGTCTGCGGAATCGCGCACAGTTCTGCTACGATACACAAGGTGAATACATACATACATGCACACGTAAATACATACATACATACATACATACATACATACATACATACATACATACATAGACACATACACACATGCATACATACATACATCCATCCATGCATGCATACATACATACATACATCCATCCATCCATCCATCCGTCCATCAATCCATCCATCCATCCATCCATCCATACATACATACATACATACATGCATGCATGCATACATGCATGCATACATACATACATGCATGCATGCATGCATGCGTTCACGCATGCACACGTACAGACATACATGCATGTGTATATATATATATATACATGTGCGTGTGCGTGTCTTGCAAAGGACCGGTCGTGCGCCGGTCCGGGCGCCGCCCGGCTCCCGCACCCGACTGCCTCCCGAGACCCAGAGCGCGGTGCAGATCAATCGCAGAGTCGTGCAAGATCACGACCGGAGGAGGCTCGGAGGGAGAGGCGGCTCGGGGGATCAAACACTTCGGGCGGCTGGCCGTCTGGGTTTTCCAGGAAGGCTCTGTAGCTGTCCAGGGGCCATCAGGAACCTCCGGCGACAGCTGGAAAGCTCGCTTCGGCCCCAGGCACATCAGACCAACTTTTTGTAGGGGGCGGACAAACCTACCTCGCTTTTGACCACCCTCGCTTCCAAGAGATACTAAGCGATGCCAAACTACGGCATGTACTGGTCAGGCCGCTTGCCGAGGAGGCGTGTGGTATGACTTGGTTTTGCCTGGAAGCGAAAGCGGGGTATGTAGTTCACGCTCTGATTTTGGAATGGAGAGCATGTCCCTGGGATGGGGTCGATGATAGGCCCCAGGGACCCTCGTCACAGAGAAATCAAGAAGACGGGTGCCTGTCTTTCTGACCGAATGGTCGATCTGGCAGAGCCCTGGGCCCGAGACGGGCTAAGATGCTGGTCGTGATGTGGTTCACGACGCCCAGATTCGAGGGTCCAGCCTCCCTCGGGCCGGGCGAAAGGGGGGGACAGCCAAGGGGGGGGGGTGAGAATCAGCTCACGTAGCTGACTTTCCCGGCGCCTCCCGGCGCCGGAGGCGGCCATGTATCGAGGAATGGGCCCCTCGCTGAGGCCGAAACCAGCTGCATGCAGCAAATGTCGTAACCCCCCCTTTCCCAATCCCCCCCTTTCGCCCGGCCCGACTCCCGCAGTGGAAGAGGCCACCCAACTTACTTGGGCCACAGAAGACAGCAGATGGAGCCAGAGCACTGCGACGTCGGGATTGAGCAAGCTGTGCTCTGGATCGCGCCGCATCGTCAGTGCATCGGCGACGTTGCGCGATCCACCGACCCCATCTAGTCAATGACTCTGGAACCGCTTGGGTGGACTGCTCCCAAAGGTCCCTGGAAGTCCCCAAAGGTCCAACAGGTCCTCCAAGATCTCTGGGCGCTCCCAGAAGCCCTCAGAGGCATTTGGAGGCCTCAGGAGGCGCAAGACGGGACAAAAACTTTGACCCTGGAGTCTCGCGGATCGAGGTTCGAAGAGAGGGAGGAAAAGAAGTAGGATAAGAAGGAGGAAGAGGAACAAGAGGAGGCGGACGAGCACGCTGAGACTATCAATTGGAGGCGGCCGGGGTGTCTGAACTGGTTGGAACCCCAGGATATCTGTCAGAAGGGGGGATGAAGCCAAATCCGCTCAGACGGTCCCTGGACTTCTCGCGGGGTCCATCTGGTGCAGTTTTTCACCCCAGATCCGTTTCTGCGGTCCCGGGGCCCGAAAACGGCCCCTGGCTACTCGAACCCAGCACCTCGAACCTTGCCCCCCGTTCTGCCACCTCACACCCCCAGCCGGCTCCAAACTATCATCACCGTACGCTGCCTGTCCTCCTCAGGCGGGGGGGCAGGAGGAGCAGCAGCTTCAGCGGGGGGCAGGAGGACCCCACCTGCAGTGGGGAGGCCTGGGGTGGGGGGCGTGCGGGGACAGCAAGCAACAACAACCACATCGAGGACGCACCCTGTGGGATGTCCTGCGCATGCCAGCAGTCGTCAGAACACCGAAACCAGCCACGTACTGGCTGTGGTCGACGTGGGCGTCCCAGAGGGCCAAATCGACCACGACCCCTACCAAGGTGTTCATGCCCAGGTCGGCGGGTTCGCTCGGGCCGGGCGAAAGGGGGGGATAGCAAAGGAGGGGGGTGAGAATCAGCTCACGTAGCTGACTTTCCCGGCGCCTCCCGGCGCCGGGAGACGCCCATCTATCGCGGATTGGGCCCGACGGCGGGGCCGAAACCAGCTGCATGCAGCAGAGTTCGCAACACCCCCTTTTCCTATCTCCCCCTTTCGTCCGGCCCGATCCTCCCCCGAGGGGCCTTCCAGGAAAACCCGCCTGGCTGCGGCTGTGGCTGACGAACGAACAACACGCACCCATACCCATAGAGAGGACGGAGGGGGCTATGGGTGCGTGTTGTCGCACGGTGGTCCCCGCTCGAACGGGCGCCTCCGCCGCGGTCCGACAACCCGCACCCATATACCCACAGCATGTCCTCCTCCCGCCGCCTCCCGCCGACCCCCCTGTGGGTATGGGTGTGTGTGTGTGTTGTCCGTTCGTCATGTGGCTGTGGTTCTTTGTCGACAGGGGGCCAAATGCGAACCCTACCCCTACCCCCCACGATTTCTGAGGGGGAGGGTGGGGTTCACTTCGCTCGGGAGCTCTCCCGAGCGACGTGAACCCCTACCCCTCCCCCTCAGAAATCGTGGGGGGTAGGGGTGGGGTTCGCCTGTGGCCCCCTAATTGTCGTGCCCGGAGGGCGGGCCGCCTTCGGGCGCGTCGGACTCCACGGTGTCCCACGTCGGCTTGCGGGCGGCGCCCGCGGTGGCGGACGAGTGGTGCACGGGCCCGACCTCGGCGGTCCGCGCACGGGTTTTGGCGAGCCGGGGCGAGCAGCCCCGGCCCCCCCTCGCGTCGTAGAAAGCATTCTTCGAAAACTTTGTGAAGGGGCCCACAAGCACACAAACAAATACACACAAATACAGAGATGCCCCATATCTTCCCAGATGTTCTGGGTTCCTGTCTTCCCCCCCCCTTCCCATATGTTCGCATATGTTCTGGGAATCGACGCATAATTGTGTCAGTGTGTTTTTTGTTTCCCTCCTGAACTTTGTGAAGCAGTGGTCACGCAGCCTCGCCTCTATATTGGGGAGGCCTAGTGACCGCAGCTGTGCCCGAACATCTACCCGATTGTAACCGAAACCGGCGCCCAAATTGTCCTGAATGCGCCCAGAAAGTGACCGACATTCTTGCCTCGAAACCAGAGCGGTTTTCAATCTCGGTCACGAGCCGGGCCACGCTGCACGTTCGGTCACAAGTGTGCGCACGTTTTTTCGGCGGCCGATGTTTGTCGGCCACATGCCTGTTTTGGCTGACAGGGGCCGAGCGCCGTGACAGATGAGAGCACGGCCTGATGTCTTCGCCAATGTTCAGCCTCTGCGGGGCCGTAGCTACCTCGTGCCAATGCCGTCAGGGAACTACTCTGGATGGAAAGCGGTCCCCGGGAGGGGGGCCCACCTTGCGAAAGATTCACGAAGGGGGGTTCGGGGGCGAGGGGGGCGGCCTTCTAAGAAGGCAGGGAGCTTCTGCGAAGGGCTCGGAGGCGTCCAAGAAGGCTTCTCAGAACGCGGGAGGGCTTCCAAGAAGCCCCCCTCTTGTCAGAAAGCCGCCCCTCCCTGCCCACCTCCTTTTGCGCGCCGTCGACGACCTCGTCGTCGGCCACCAGCGTCTCCTCCGCCACCTGCCCTGCCCCTCCAGGAGGGCCAGCAAAAATAGCACGAGGACCCCAGAGTTCGAGTTCTGGTCGAGGTTCAAGGCTGTCCTGGTGACAGGTACACAGCGGTACACATGCCTGGAGGTCTACTCTACTGCACTCTGGAGGGCCAAGCTGCACCGCCTCCCAAGGCGCCGTGCCCCGGCTCCACAAGCTCGCCGCCACAAGCTGGCTGCACGGCCAGGTGTAAGCCGTTGGCTGGATGGCTGGAGTCCGGCTGGCTGGAGGCTGGTCGGCTGGAGATCGGTTGGCTGGATGAGGCATTTCGGAAAGCGCTCCCCTCTGGCCCCCGAGCTTTGACTGGCCGAAGTAGTGGCGGCCATGGGCACCGTCCAGCGCAGCCCCTGAGCAGCTGCTCATCCTGTCGCAGATGACGCGCTCAAGACGCTAGCAACTCACCGATGGAAGGCCGGCGGGCACATCCTGAGCTCGGCCTGATGTCTGCCCCAACGAACACGCCAAGGGTGCCCGACCACATGCACAGGGCGAACCCGAAATCACCCGAGGGCCAACCTGCGATGTGCGAGCCGGCACGCGAGACCTTTTGTTGCTGTTGTTGTTGTTGCTGTTGTTGTTGTTGGTGGTGGTGTTGTTGTTGGTGTTGTTGTTGTTGCTGTTGCTGTTGCTGTTGCTGTGGTTGTGGTTGTTGTTGTTGTTGTTGTTGTTGCTGCTGCTGTTGTTGTTGTTGTTGTTTTACCCCAACGGTTCCCGCCGAGTTCTGTAGGTTGGCCAGCGAGGTACAGATCTTGGCCAGCGCGGGTGAACAGAGACGAACGCAACCACGGCAACGCCGCAGCGCTGACCTGCGCATGCGGCCGAGACACGGAGCCCAAAGCCGGTGCCTACACGCCGTGAGTCGCAGAGCAAGCTCCGACGTCCCAGGGGGCCTCGAGGGGGAAGAGGAAACTGCTTGCACGTTGTGGGGGCATCCTCGATAGCTCTGCCAGCCACTTACATAAGCACACAACGGGCGATGAGGAGGAGGACGAGGAGGAGAACGAGGAGGAGGAAGCGGAGGAGGCGGAGGAGGCCAGCGCTCTTCGCCTCAACCTCGTTGCCTCTGCCCCGCCTCGCCACCATCCTTGCGATATGTGCTTGTTCGGCCGCCCGGCCCACATGTGCGCGCACCTCACGGCACCCTTTTCCTGCCCCCTGCACCGGCGAGCTCGGGCAGGCAGCTGCCGCGCACGCCCCACCGGTGCCTCTCGCTGGCCTCTCCTGTCCTTCCTGCCCGCTCGCGCGGGGCCCGCTGGGGTCGGGAGCCGTCGTGCAGGGCGGTTGCGGCGTGTACCCTCAAAGAGCTTCGGCCGCGTGCGCGGATTGAAGCTGGAGCGGAAGGAGCGGGAGGAGCAGAGTGACCAGGGGAAGGCGGGAAGGAGGGGAAAGAAGCGGGACGCCAGCAACGAGGAAGCACTCGAATCCAGAAACGCGGGTCGCGCTGGGGCCGAGAGCGCCATTCTGAACGATAGGAGCAAAGCGCCGATCCTAAATTGAGGCCCACGCTGCAGCGGAAACACCGTTTCGAGAAATGCGCGTTGAAAAAATAACAATACGCAGAGGGGCCTGTTCCGCTCCGCCGCCATTTTCAGGGGATGGAGGGGCGTAGCACTAATATTGAATAGCTGTTGCATAACTCACAGGAAGAAGAGGGCGGCGAGGAGGGCATAGGGATGAGGAGGGGAGGAAGGGTGGAGGAGAGTTATGTTGCATCCTCGGGGGACCTTGTCTGTCCCGTCGCGGCCCTGTCCGCGTCGAATCCGTGTCGAATCCATGTCGGACGCGTCGGATCCGTGTCGAAAAACCGTGTCGAATCCGCGTCGAATCCACGCCAAATCCGCGTCGAGTCCGCATCGAGCACGCGTCGGGCCCCCAAAAAGACAGCAATTTTTGGGAGAGGCGAGGTCCCCCGAAGGTGCAGCAGAAGGAGAGGAGAGAAGGCAGACATGTGAAGGCGTTCTGGGCACGAGTCCGGGCGGCAGGGCAGGGCATGCAGAACCCACATTCGTGAGGGGCCGCTGGCCCCTCGAAGTGCTCAAGTGGTGCGCATACCCAGAGATGAATATGTAATCCCCATTGTTGAGGGATGAAAAAAACGACCCTACCCTGGGTTGCAAGTGCGTGGTCTGTAAACCTCCTAGGAACCCCCAAAGCCTAGAGCCGCCAGGACGCGGCACATCACGCAGGGTTTACCCTGTCAGCCCACAGGAGGTTCAGCGCACAGCGCCTCGTAAACCAGGGTAGGGGCGTTTTTTGCGCCCTTGACATTGTTCCTGGCAGTGAAGGAGGGATGAATCTGTGATGATACCCAGAAGGACATGACATGCAATTCCCGATTGCTCCTGGCAGTGACACCAAGAAGGAATGGAAGGAAGGATGCATCTGTAATCCCCATTGTTGTTCCTGGCAATCGGCCGTGGCGGGCCCTGGAAGAGCCCCGGCCCGCATCCGCCCCCTTCTCTAACAACGTGCGCACAGGCCACAGATCTCATGCGCCATGCCGTCGTGGCCCGACCCGTCCATCCTCATGGAGGTGCCCAACGTGAAGCTGGAGCGGCTGGCTCGAGAACTCGAGCTGGGGCCGGAGGTCGTCCAGCGACAGGGTGGTGTGCAGTATGTTGTTCATGTGGTACCTCTGGTAAAGGTCCACGTCGAGCTGGGCGAGCTCGCAGTCGAACTTCAAAGATCCCTCCCATCTCTTGCACGCGCAGGGATATGCCATTCAAGTGGAAGTGCAAGGGGTGAGGAACAGTAGGAGCAAAACGATTCGCATCTGGCTCGCAATGCGTGGCACCATAGGCCTTGCTGTGATCATGAAACCGCTCAATCCATGCCTCGTGGAAAGGTGCCCGCTGCAAAGCCTCGGGAGTGCCCACGCGCACATGAACGATGCTGAAAATTGTTTGAACATGGGGCGCGATCTTAGTCTGAAACGCCCGGCTGAACTTACGCGTGAACGGGGTGGACAGCATTTCACCTGTTGTGGATACTTGCACTTGTCTCTAAGCGCATGCATTCAGCACTGAGATCGCAGTTGATCGACCTCCCTGCCTAGGCATGTCGTGCACATGCTGACATTAACGAAACGGCTCGCACATCGAGTTCTGCCCGTCCCGAGAGCCTGAGGCCCTGTGCCACGCCTTCGGGAACGACTTTGCCAGTGTTGCGCATGCCGGTTCTGCACAGGGGTTGCACGAGCGGCCTGCGCATGGAGCTACGCATGCGGGGAAACCGCGCGGTCTGCGCATGCGGGTTGCGCATGTGGGTTGCGCAGTAGAGCAGAGCCGAGACGAGTAGAGCATGGTAGTGCACGGTTCTTGCGGCGCGCGATCATACCAACACGAGATGGTTGCCCCGATGCCTGTCCTGGTGAGTCCCCGGTAGAAAGACAGTGAGATCGACATATAGATTGATAAAGAGATCGATTGGTATATAAACGGGGCCGATATCGGGTGATACAGATAAGTAGCTGGAAATAAATATCATGGTTGCCGCGATGATTGACCCGATAACATTCCGATAGCAAAACGATGAGATCATCAAATCGGCAGATCCGCCACCACGCTTTCAGCACGTAATGGAATGCCCGAAGGCTCATGCAGCCCTGCAACCCTCAGAGGTAGAGGGGCTGATAGGAACTCAAGGGCCCAGACCCCCAGTTTGCAGGCTGCTCCTTCCTGGCAGCTTTTCAGCCAGCCTCAGACGACCTCCCTGTGGCCCCAAGACGGCCCAAGGGGCCCACAAGACGCCTCAAAAGGTCCCCAAGAGCATCCGCAAGAAGGACCCAAGAAACAACAACTCGTCCCATTCCCGTCGGAAAACGTACATGTTCAGTAATTCGCAGTTGCGCTTTCGCGGCGTCCAAGAAGCCCCAGGAGACTTAGAGGATCGCCCCAAGAGGCCCCGAAGATCGTCCCAAGACGGCTCAAGAGGCTCCACACAAGGTGCTCCGAAAGGTGCTCCAAAACGGCCCCAAGAGAGCCCAAGAGGCCCCCAAGACAGCCAAATACAGCCCCACGACACGCCCAAGAGAGGCTCCAATCGGGAAACACGCGCGGGCAGTTCGAGCGTGCGGCCCCAAGGCGCCCCAAGGGCGCCACCAGAGGCTCCCAAGAAAGCCCGAAGAGGCCCCAGGATGCCCCCCTAAGAGGCCCCCAGGAAGCTCCACGAGGCCCCAACGAGGCCCCCAAGAAGCTCCCAAGGGGCTTCAAAACTGCCCCCCCAGGAGCCCCCGAGAGCCCTCCGAAACTACCCCAAGAAGCATGCATGAGAACTCTCACCCACAACTCACGACCCAGGCACACAATTACCCTGGCGACGTACCCAACCCCTGCGCAATAGCTTGGGAGACGTTGTACGGAGGTGGTGACGTGACATGGGCGCATATACTTCTGCGAGCGGCATTCGTGAGGTTCGCAGCCCCCCAAGGATTGCGATGTCTCGCTCAGATCTGCCTGGTGCCTCGCTCCGGTGAACCCGCCACCAGACTTCGAACGTAGCAACGGTTTCGCAGATCGCAGCCCCCCAAGGACGGCGAGGCCCCGCTCAGATCTGCGCGGTGCCTCACCCCGCTGGACCCACCAGCAGCCCTCGAAAGTGGGGACCGTTTCGCAGATCGCAGCCCCCCCAGGGACGGCGAGGCCCTGCTCAGATCTGCGCGGTGCCTCACTCCGCAAGACCCACCAGTTGCCCACGAAAGTGGCGACAGCTTCGCAGATCGCAGCCCCTCAGGGACGGCAAGGTCCCGCTCAGACCTGCGCGGTGCCTCACTCCGCTGGACCTACCAGCAGCCCTCGAAAGTGGCGACCGTTTCGCAGATCGCAGCCCCCCAGGGACGGCGAGGTCCCGCTCAGATCTGCGCAGTGCCTCACTCCGCTGGACCCGCCAGCAGCCTTCGAAAGTGGAGACAGGTTCGCAGATCGCAGCCCCCCAGGCACGGCGGGGTCCCGCTCAGATCTGCGCGGTGCCTCACTCCGCTGGACCCACCAGCAGCCCTCGAAAGTGGCGACAGTTCCGCAGATCGCAGCCCCCCAGGCACGGCGAGGTCCCGCTCAGATCTGCGCGGCGCCTCACTCCACAGGACCCACCAGCAGCCCTCGAAAGTGGCGATAGTTTCGCAGATCGCAGCCCCCCAGGGACGGCGGGGTCCGGCGCGATGCCTCACTCCGCTGGACCCACCAGCAGCCCTCGAAAGAGGCGACAGTTCCGCACATCGCAGCCCCCCAGGGACGGAGAGGTCCCGCTCGGATCTGCGCGGCGCCTCACTCCGCAGGACCCACTAGCAGCCCTCGAAAGTGGCGACGGTTTCGCACCCCCCAGGCACGGCGAGGTCCCGTTCAGATCTGCGCGTTGCCTCACTCCGCTGGACCCACCAGCAGCCCCCGAACGTGGCGACCGTTTCGCAGATCGCAGCCCCCCCAGGGACGGCGGGGTCCCGCTCAGATCTGCGCGGTGCCTCACTCCGCTGGACCCACCAACAGCCCTCGAAAGTGGCGACCATTTCGCAGATCGCAGCCCCCCAGGCACGGCGGGGTCCCGCTCAGATCTGCGCGGTGCCTCACTCCGCTGGACCCACCAGCAGCCCTCGAAAGTGGCGACCGTTTCGCAGATCGCAGCCCCCCAGGCACGGCGGGGTCCCGCTCAGATCGGCGCGATGCCTCACTCCGCTGGACCCACCAGCAGCCCTCGAAAGTGGCGATAGTTTCGCAGATCGCAGCCCCCCAGGGACGGGGATGTCCCGCTCAGATCCGCGCGGTGCCTCACTCCGTAGGACACCCCAGCAGGCCTCGAAAGCGGCGACAGTTTCACAGATTGCAGCCCCCCAGGGATGGCGAGGTCTAATTTGGGCCCGCGCGTGGCGTCACTGTGCTGGGCCCCAGCAGGCCTCGAAAGTGGCGACAGTTTCACAGATCGCAGCCCCCCAGGGATGGCGAGGTCAAATTTGGGTCCGCGCGTGGCGTCACTGTGCTGGACCCGCCAGCAACCTTCGAAAGTGGCGACGATTCCGCAGATCGCAGCCCCCCAGGGATGGCGAGGTCAAATTTGGGTCCGCGCGTGGCGTCACTGTGCTGGGCCCCCCAGCAGGCCTCGAAAGTGGCGACAGTTTCACAGATCGCAGCCCCCCAGGGATGGCGAGGTCTAATTTGGGTCCGCGCGTGGCGTCACTGTGCCGGGCCCCCCAGCAGGCCTCGAAAGTAGCGACAGTTTCTCAGATCGCAGCCCCCCGCAGGCAAGACAGGAGGAGGCAGGCAAGAGGCAGGAGGGAGGCGGGAGGAGACGCGCGATCAGTGCTCTATTCAAAACGAATACCCAACCAAGGGGGTTTGGGAATAAAGCAGGAAGCAGGACGCAGGAGGAAGGAGGGAGGCGGGAGGAAGGAAGGTGGAGACCACAGTCCCTTATTCAAAACGAATACCCAACCAAGGATGGTTGGGAAAAACACGAGGCTCAGACTAAGCCCCACTCTCGCCCACGACCTACAACCAAGGCGAGCTCTACAAGGCCTCAAAGAGGCCCCCAAGGAGCTCCCGAAGGGCTTCAAACCTGCTCCCAGAAGCCTCGGATATCCCTGACCTGCCGACCCCACTTGGCCCAACAATGACCTCGCCAGACAGCGGTGTCCGGGCTCCTCCACTCGCCGCTGGTCGGCGACTGCAGCTGGCCGAACCGCCATCTCCATTCCATGCGCAGGATTTCGCCCCCGTACACTCCTGCTACCTCCATCGTCGACCGACCGCAGCTGGCTCGCAAACTTAATGCACCTGTTCGGTGTGGCCGTGTGCCGACGCCCCCGCTGCGACTGCTCCCCAGTGGCAGCGCCCTCCAACACGGCGTCTCGCCCTGCCTCCCATCGCACCCCGGTGCACCTGCTCGGTGCTACCCCCGTGCCCTCCGCTCGCAGCCTTCTGCCTCGCACGCCGTGTCCAACGCACCCGCTCGGCGCTACCCCCCCGCCCGCTCTCGTGCGGCGCACCCGCCCGGTGTGGCATTTCGCCCGCCGTCTCTGGCGTTCCCCCGCCCTCCCCGCCGCGGCACACTGGAGGCCTGCTGCCCCCCGGCCCCTCTTCCCACGCGGCGCCGCGGGGCCGCCCGCGCGCCCCGCCGCGGGGCCTCTCCCCACGCGTCCTCCTGGCGCGGCGTGGGTCGACTCGCTGTCGGCCACCCCGCGCGCGCCTGGGCCCTGCCTTCGGGCTCGCACCCGGCCTTGGTCCCAGTGAGCTGGTGCTGCCGCTCGCCTCGATGCCGCCGCGCCCCTCCCCCTCCGCCCTCGCGCCCTCGCCCGGCCGCAGGGCTGTTGGCTCCCCGCCCTCCCTCGCTTCGCTCTGGCGAGGAGGCCCCTGCCCCCGCCGCTGCATCCCCTGCCATGCGCAGGCAGGATCGCCCGCCTTCAGAATTTTGGCCCCGGGCGCACGCCCGCCGCCTCCTCCTCCTCGAGCCAGGTCTTCACTGCGTTGGCGCTGCTCCTGCGCCCCATCGCCGCTTTGCCTGGTTTCCAGGCCTTCGGGTCTCCGCCTGGGGCGGGTGCTTGGCAGGCCTCCCTCAGCCTCGGCACCCCCAACTCCTCTGCCTGGTTTTCAGGCCGCCCCCTCTGGCTGGTTTCGTCCACCGGCGCCGTCGGTCCACGGGCCCCGCCTCCACGCCCGGCTGCGCTTTCGTCCTCTGGACCCCCCCGCATTGGGTGGCACGGCG